TAGAATCCTATTAGGTAACCCCAAAACGGAACTACCAAGGTCTTTACTAGGGCTCTTAATACGATAGGGCCAGGTTCCTACAGTACCCTAAGAATCCTCAGCCCTCAGCCCTAACCCCCCCCCCCCCCCCGCCCCCGAAAAAAACCTAAACCCTACCTTAGGCTGTGGGCATATTTGGGTCCAGAAAATCCCAAATCCCTCAGCCCCTCCGCGGTAAAGCGGGGGACTCCTGGGCTCGGATTTCACTTAGACTGAGGAGGGGTTGTGCAAAAAAATACATACGCAAGAAGCCCAGAAATCCTTAAGAAAGGCCCCATGTTCGAAGAGTTTGAAGAACTTCGACGAGGAGCTGTGCGTTCAGCTCCACGAGGATCGCCGCCACCTGCCATGCGGACGGCAGGAAGTCGAGCCGAGACTCCCCTACGCTTGGAGTTTAGGCTAGGGTGTCCATGGGCTTCACTACACATCATCAGCTTCCTCTTCTGCCTCGTCAGCTTCATACTAACTACGATTCGCGGCCATTTTGATTTTCAGTTTCATCTGCATCTCAGACCCTTCCCTTCCTCTTCCTCTTCCTACGCTGGGTCAGAGACCACATGCTCAACGATCCGCCGTACCACTATACCATCAGCTTAGTAATCAGCCTCTTCCGCAGCTTCAGCATCTCTTACTTCTTCAGTTGAAAGAACTGCTTGGTTGAACTCGCGAGCCCTTAAACAGCCGAAATTGAACACGAAGTGAACTCCGGAGCCTTGAACCCTCCCAAGCATCGAAAACCTTAGCATAAACCCTAACCCCCTAAACCCCCTTAACCCCTAACCCACTCCCTCTCTCCCCCTCTCCCTCCCCCTCTCTCCCTCTCCTCCCTATAAGCAAAAACTGAAGTAGTGGTGAAAAAGAGTGGCAAGGGAGCTGCAACTGAGGTATTTCTATGCGACCACAGCAGCCAGCTCGCTGCCCGAGAGCTGTTGCCATGCAAGGTGGCGGGTGGGACCTACAGCTTGCAGTCGTTGACAGCAGCATCCAGGTGCACGACCGGTGGTCTGCCCCAGTAACGTTGCCAGAAGGTGCGAAGAAAAGGAAACTATCCTCAACACTGCTGCTGGTGTAACCAGTCTTGGCATCCTTTTGAACGGCTTGTTACCTTCAGGGGTGTCAGCAAGCTCCGTCTCAATCGACAACGAAGGCGTGGGAGCCAAGTGATCTTGCTTAAACCATCGAGCGGCCCGCTAAACCCCAAACCTCCTTAAACCCTAAACCCCTTAACCCTAAACCCAAAGCTCCTAAACCCTAGACCCTAAAACCCCCATACCCAAATTGGACGCTGAAGGTCTGCAGCTCTCTCAACCCCTGAGCCCTGAACGGCGAAAACTCCAACGAGAAAGTCCCCAAACCTCAACCACTCATGTTATCACAGTCTAACCACCTACAGTCCTTAAAAGTCCCAAGCTCTTGCACCCTAAGCAGTCCTAACTCCCCCAAAGAGCCCTGAGCCATACACCCGACGCCCCGAGCTTTGAAGCCCCAAACCCTCAAATCAGAAGCCCTGAACCCTAAACCCTACACTCTAAAACCCTAAACCCTATAAAACCCCAAGCCCTAAACCCTGAAAGTTTCTAAGGAACGAAACGCTTCAAACCTACAGTTCGGAAACCCAAAGCCTTGAAAGCCTGAGTCCCGAAGCTTCTCCAAACCGACAGCACTCATACCTCGAACGCGCTCTTCTACAATCCTTGTAAAACTGCAGCGAAACTCTATGACATTCGATGAACACCCTGGTAAAAAAAAGTACTATAGACCATCCCCTAAACCCTAAACCCGTAACCGAAAAGCTCTGCTTCAGAGGCCTCAGGGTTGTCACTGAGCGGCTTCGGTGGATCGGCTTCCTGCGACTTTGTGCTTTGGGGGGGTTCGAGTGTTTCCACTGTTTAGGGTCTAGGGTCTAGTAGGGTAATTAGGAATTAAGGTTTAGGGCTTCGTAGGGTATTCAAGGTTTAGGGTTTAGTAGGGTAAGTAGGGCTTGGAAAAGACTTCTACCAGGGCTCCATGCGGGTTACTACAATGCGGGTGATTCCAAGCGGCTTTAGGGTCCTTAGATAGGTATGTGTGTATGTGTACATATATAATAGACATAGATACAGATACATATATATATACACATA